TCTACATTATCAAAAATTTGTACATATCACAAAGTCGAATATTTAAAAATGACATTGGTGTGAAATATACCAATTTGTTTTATAGTTATTTATGTTCATGGGGAAATGTCATTATCTTATATATATACACACAATTTCAAAGTTAATTGTTTAGATTCGTAACTTCGTTCATAAATGTTTTATTTACCAAAAATATATGAACTTTGAGATTAGGATTTGGCGATTTTGGCCAAAAAAAAAATATAGAGCAAAAAAGGGATTTTGGAAAATGATACTTTAGTTGTGAAAATCTTTACAGATTTCCATATTAGATATGAGGTGGATTTGTTACAAGAGTGATTTTCACTAGTAAGATTTAAACAAATGTCTTCTCAGATCTAAAATATTTTCACCATTTAAACCTATGTTGCCCCATTTATTTAATATTGTTGCGTATTTTCATTCAACATTCTTAAGGTATGTTATTTTCAGGAGTACCGAAGATCACCCCTGGTTTATGCTGGGGTTTGTGTTCTTAGTTTTTAGTTTTCTATGTTGTGTTTTGTATACAGCTTGAAACTAAGTATATGTGTTCATAATGATGTGAAAATGAAAAAAAACAACCCGCGAAAGTAGGAATCAAACATATTTCGTGGTTCCCTGAACATGGAAATGAGATAGTGGGAGCGGTGTGTTCACGTTTATCCAACATAGACTAAACCAACATTTAGGATTAGGGGGTCCTTTTAAGGGCTGACATCTTGATATTAACCTGTAATTCACCAGTTTCAATATGTTACTAAAATCCTGTAAAAAGCGGTATTTTTTAAAAAATTATTGTAAAATGTTAACAAAATATATTTTTTTCAATAATTGATTTTCATTTTATTTTTAAAAAGTTTCTCAATATTTAAAAGTCGATATAATCTAGCACAGTAATGTAAATTTTAATTTTACTTTTTATTCATATTGTTGTCCCTATTTTCGATAATAGTGTATTATTTATTACATTGTTGCGATCTTGAATAAAAAATTACATGTAACGTACATAAAACTTCGTTATTGCGCAACGTTTTAAATTTGGATATCTACATGTAACACAAATACAAAAATATATCAAGTAATATAATGAATTACGAAAATGAGGTACAGTCAGTGAACATTTCGATTTTTCATGTTATTTTCAATAAACATTCATTTTGAGATTATTTCTTGATAAATTTTTATGAAATTTTCACAGTCGAATGAGAAATGTTTGCATTTTCCTTGTTTATTTATGGAATCTTTTTGTTGAATAACTTTTTAATTTTGTAATTCAAACACGGATAAAAATAATTGCGTAACATTTTCTGGTTATATTCAACCAAAAATATATGAAAAACCAATTATTGTAAAAAAAAAAAAATGTTTTGTTAATGTTTTGATATACTTTTAATAGAAAGTGATAGATAGAAAAAAATTCAGAGAGATAAAAGAATATGCGAACAGTGTGATTTAAAAGATCTTGGAGATGAATTTCATGATGTAGTGAGTAAATTTATGGCTATAGAAATAAAAAAGAAAATGATAAAAAGTATATTGATTATCCAAATATAATCAAATTTAAAGAAGTTATGAATATGACAAAATAATCATATTTAAAAAGACTATGTTTATTTATAAGGCAGATTAATTCATATGTGTGTTCTCCTGACTAAATTCAATCTAGATATTTTGTAAATAGTGTACATATCATGTTTTCTTTTAATTTATATCTGTGCTATTTATAACATGTAATATACCCATCACACTAGGACCACGATCCCGCTACGATCTCAGAAATTATGAAAAACATTTTGGAAGTCGTAGTTAGATCGTGGTGGTCGTGGTAAGGACGTGCCACGGTCTTCATGATCGTGGAGGTCCACGACCAACTTTGGACATGCTCAAAACATTCGTAATGCAGTAGTGACCAAAACTAGTCGTAATAGAAGCTTAAGAAAGGTCGTAGTAAGGACGTAGTAAGATCTGGATTGGCGTAGAAGCATCCAATTGGAAATTGTGGTGCAATCGGGAAGCCAATGGAAAAAGATTTCGCAGCGACCTTACTACGATTTCACTGCGACTATTCCAATTTCACTACGTCTTTATTACGCTTCTACTACGATATTGATACAATTATACTACGATTAGGAAGACAATAGTACGCTGCTACTAAGCGCTTGCCGTCCTTAGTACGACCTTACTACGATACTTCTACGTCCTAGCCACGATAATAGCACGACCTCATTCTGTTGATATAAAAAAAAAACGGATGCATCAAATTCTACCCGTAGTTCAACCATGGACACACATTAGCAAAACCTACTTCTGCAATGTTTAATTCAGCTGCACTGTATCGATTTGGCTTATCAGGCTACACTTTTAGTTATAGAAGAAGGAGAATACATACTAGACAGCCTAGGTTCTGTTGGATGCGCCATCGACTTTCTGTTGAAAGAAGACTCCAGTTTGTGCATTACGACCGACTTATGAAAGAATTAAGGATGGAGGATCAACAGTCATTCTTTGATTTTTTAAGGACGCCTCAAGAAATGTTTGATGGACTTTTGAACAGAGTAAGTCCTCGAATTCAAAAGATAGACACCCGATTCAGAAAGGCACTAGATCCTGGTCTGAGAATTGCTATTACCTTAGGGCACTTAACTTCTGGCGATAGGTAGTCAACCCTTCAGTACGGTTTAAGAGTCACTCACAATACTACAAGTACTTTTATTCCTGATGTTTACCAAACAATTATACAGGAATAAAAAGATGAATTCATATCCTGTCCAACAAAACCAAAAGATTTTCAGAGAAGATGGAACGTGCCATACGCTTGTGGCACATTCGATGGAAAGCTATTAGAAGGCCACATTAAAGCGGATCCTTGTTTCATAACTTTCAAGGTTTATTTTCATTAGTGCTCCTTGCCTTGGTGGATGCAGACTACAATTTTTTATAGATAGATATAGGAAGATATTGTTCAATGTCGGACGCCCAGATTTACAACGCGACAGAATTAACGGATTTCCAGAAATAGATCCCTTACCTAATGACGACCTGAATATGACATACTTCATCTTGGGTGACGACGCATTTGGGTTGAGAACTTATTTGATGAAACCATATTCTAGAGCGTAATGACAACGTAGTGGAAACGTAGTGGAGTCGTGGTTCGATCATAGTAGACTCGTATTGAGATCGTAATGCGATCGGGAAGGTCTTGGTAGAAGCGTAAAGAGATCTTGTAAGTCGTGGTAAGGTCTTATTAGACGTAACAAAAGCGTGACAAGATCGTAACTAGAACGAGTTACTATCGCAGCGGAATCGTAGCAGGATCTTATCAGTATCGTTGTGGTATGAAGTTGAAAACTATGAAATATTGAATATTCAAGCCGACCATACCACGATCTCGCCGCGATCTTTTTTATTGATCGTAGTGGGATCTTCATGGGATCTTCATGGTCTTGGTCTAGTGTGACGGGGGATTAACTTCTACGTACAATCGTATTGACAAAGGTTTATTAGAATAAAGATATATATATGAAAGAGGATACAATTTATGCCTATGTTTTGGACTTAACAGTGAATACAAGTATTTAATTCATTTAAAATATATATCTTTAAAAAATACCCCTTTTTACAAGATTTTAGTTAAGGACTGATACAGGTGAATCACAGGTAAATATCAAGATGCCAATCCTATAGAAACCCCCTAATCCTTAATGTTGGTTTAGTCTAATTATCAAATGTTGGATAAACGTGAATAAACCGTGCGAGCGGAGTGTCCTTTCCTATGGACAAATATTGTTCTCTATAAAACCGTTAGACTTAATACATTTTTCTGTTAAACCGATTCATTTATTTAAATTAAAATTATTTAAGGTCTTGCAAAATTTTCATCCCATCATATTTATTTTGCCTAGGAACGTATAGGGATACAACCTCAATACCTTTCACATTATTATAGATACTAGTAGGTCAATGACAATAATTATTTTAGAAACCAGAATGACATCAGTGCTATTATTAGTCTTGTATTTTCTGAAAAGCCGATTTGTTCTTTAATAATCCGTCATTTGTCTTTAATATTTCAAAGTAGAATATTGATTGAAGCTGTTATATAATCTTTTCTATAAACAAAACCATGGTAAAATATTAATATTCGTAAAAAACAAGATCTTGCTTTTCCTAGCTTTGTATCAACTTTTGTGTATATTAAGAATTGGCAAAGTATTAGCACAACTAAATATCAACCTAAAATTTGCTATAAACCAAACTCCTTTTTTTACTTTTTTCTTTAGTTGCTGTGGACAATGTTTCAAATAAAGAAGAAATATAGATTGAAAACTGCAGTAGGTCAGCCCTTTTTTCACTTTCGTTAAGTATGGGCATATACGACTTAAACTGATTTAGTAAAACTTTATTCTTGGCTTCATTGATATTCTTGACTTCACAAATTTTCGAATAAATTTAGCAAATTTAGATTAGTATTAAAAAATTTATTTTCGTAGGCCAAATAGCGGACCTAAATTCCCATTTTCCTTTACAATAAAACTATTAACTTGAAAAAATGGAAGATGTGTTTGTATGCTTCTTTGTACTATCAACGAAAGTACTATGCTATCCAAGATATATGCAACACAAAACTATAAAAGGATTCAGGATGACGATTGATTTTGATCGCATAGTATTGGATATTTTTTAAATTTTATTATTGTGGCCATTGCATTGCTGTTGTAATATATATTTTAAATGTTTTATACGTGGATACCAAATTGCAGTTTCTCTTTGCAACATTAGACAGAGACATTTGATTAAAAAACTTGGAATCCTAAAATAACAATAACGAAATTGATGAGCTTTGAAAACCAAGAATTCCAAAAAGTTGTGCCAGATGTTATTAATACATATTGAAGAGTTGATTATTATTTTTCATGATAGCGCATATTTAGAGTTAGTGTTATGTTAGTAGAACCACATTATGTTTAATTAAATACCTATCTTCTGCATTACGTCCCTGCAGGTTTGATGCAATTCATATCTTGGATTCTCTTCTGTAATACTCTCCAACAATTCTTCATATTTACTAAGATCTTTTCTGTGATTTTTCTAGTCAAAGTATTAAAATATAAACAAACAGATAATTATTCGCATACTTCAAATAATGTCTCGTATTTTGAAATATTAGCCCTTGGTAGCATGCTGTCACTTTAACAATCGACAAAAAGGGGAGAAGATAGCAAACGAGCAATCTATAACCATAGGTCAAAGAAGGACAAAAACCCACACCCAACTAATGATGCAGTAAATCAACTTCATCAGAATACGAAGATAAACTCAAGTGCACTAGAGGGTAGATAGTTCCTGTTTCCGTTATTGAAAAACAGCAACAGTAGGTGATGCTGCCAACTATTACCGATCTGCCTAGATTCAAGCATTACAACACTATTGAAATGTTTTAAAAACTGATTCGACCATATAACAATATTTAGTTTGGTGCATGTAAATCACAACTATGATGCAGCAATCCAACAATAATTACCAGAGCACGATGAATATCTCCACACATAAATTAAACTTTTCTATTATCACACTATAGAGCTTCGTAGCATAAAGATAATTTGAAATTCAACAGGAATGGCTAGATTCTGGATATCGAAAATAAATCCCAAATTTGGGTGCAACAACAATATCAACAGTTTGATATATGCAGACTCAGGATATTTCTACTATTTTTTTACATCTAGAAAAACATGCGTGATAGACTCACTTATTCAATAAAAATGGTAGTTTCTTCCAATTGTCTTCCGATTTTGAATATTTACAAAAACTGCGGAATTCAATTAAATTTATTGATGATGAGACTTTATGAAACATGTTCGGAGTGTTGTTCTCATTTTTGGTTTTCAAAATCAACAGTATCCTACCGACAACTTTAATTACCTTTGCTAGCTTCCTGAAGTATCATATATTTTTACCTTGTTTTTCAAATTATGTGACGTTTTGTTTTCCCTTGTTCAAGTAAGTTGTCATCTTGTCGGTATATGCACAGTGGAAAATTTTTGTTTTGTATTTTATAAGGACATATGTAAATATAAGTAAAAACATGAGTTGGGATTTGCACGTATAGCAGGTTAAACACCATCATACATATTATGTTATGTCGGTATTGGGATATATGGACCATGTGCTATCTTTGTGTGTACGTCTGTTATTTCATTTGAGTTGGTTGATATTGTGATGTTTTGAAGATTACTACTTTCCCTTTTTATCATTCATTTTATGCTCACCTCAAACATAACAAATGTGTCTCTCTGGTATGTACGGTATAACATTACCTGAAACATAACTCATTCATCTCTTCAGTTTTCACGACATAACCTTACCTCAAACACAACACATTTTTCTCTCCAGTATTCACGGCATAAACTTTCTTCCATATATTCGCTACCTAACATTGTAAACTTTCTCTTTATTTCATTTACTTTATTTTTCACTGATTCATTATATGTTTGTCCAACCAGGTTTGATAATCCTTCAACGGAACCAGATATAGAGTTCCAGTAAGAATTGTACGTATTGTCATCTATCGAACGCAAGTCTGTAAGGTGAAAAAGTGCATTTCGCGCTTTAACGATCTGTTCTAACCAATTATACACTCCCCTTTCATGTGGAATATTCTCACATTTTGTTAATATGACATTGGCTAAAGTTATATCTAGGACGGATACATTGATACATTGTATTGGGATTAAGTGACAAATACATGTTTGCACTAATCTTTTGCCAGATCTTTTTGTATGAGAATTGTCCAGTTTGTCATGATTGGATTTAAATAGAATTTTAAATTGATCTTTAGATAATATTTTTGAAAACTTCCTTCTTCCATTTTGTCCACACATACAGCAGCTCATAGTCTCATACAAATGAAATATGTTGTGCTTATTTTTTTCGAGATACTCCTGAAACGTTTCTCCATTCGATAGTATATTTGTCAGTATATATTTTCGTATAACTTCTGGGGGCACTTCCATTAAAAGAGCTACAAGACGATAAAAATTAATTTCGTTGTTTTCTGTTGTAGACTGTGATGCCATATTGTATTACCTTTTGTTGTATGAATCCATCAAAAATCTGAAATATATCGTTAATAATAATGAAAAGGCAAAAATGTATATAAAAAACAAAATTTTATTATAAGTGAACAGAGTAAAATGCATCATTATTTTTTACTACCCATATATCTTGTAATACATGTTCGTGCACCTCCTGTAATATGCAAATCTTCAAAAAGGTCAAACTGAAAAACATTCATTCTTTGACAATCAAAGAGAGGCGAAAGAAACCAAAGAGATATTCACTCATAAGTCGAAAACAAACTGACAACGCAATGACTTAAAACGAAAAACAACGAACAGACAAACAACATTCTACAAAACACAACATAGAAAACTAAACACTGAGCAACACGAACCCCTCCAAAAATCAGGGTGATCTCAGATGCTCTGGAAGGGTATTTTCAAGAGTTGGTTCAATTTTCATCATATTGACAGTGTATTACAACAAACAGAATATGTTTAATGGATATGCAAAGAAATATGTACATACCAATGAAAGCTGTCAAAAACCTTTATAGGAAGAATTTCCATTTTCTTTTAAAGTGATTGCAGGGTTTAGAAAGTAATTTTTATGATGCATATTTCTTTTCGTGGTCCGAGTTTTGCTATCTTTTCAGTCCATTTTAATTTCACCAGTTCTTCAAAGTTAGAATTAGGTTTTGGATTTTCAAATGAATTGGCATCGAGCATGACTGAACAGACGGTTATGAATTTATGGACTAATATAAATTGCATATCTTATAAAAATATTATACTTTAAATAACAATAAGGGACCAAGTAAATAATATATCAAATGCATTTGGTATTGACATGCATGAAAGAAACGGATGGATTATGAAATAGGATCTGACAATTCTCCATATTCATAAAAGAGGGTCTGGAAGGAGTTTACAGAGAATAATCAGTCAAATACTATAGAAAAATGTGCCAGATAATTAAAGAATAGAAAAAAGGCACAAATTAAACGATAGAGAATAATGAGATAAGTTATAGATAATGCCTATTTTAAGGTTTTTCTTGTCGTATAACACACCGAAGGGTGTCAGGATTGATCAAATGAAAGACCGACCGTAGGTAGGTCTTTCTATAGGTAATCCTGACACCCAGATGTGTGTTATACGACAAGAAAAACCATAAGATATCCATTATCTGACTTGTATACCGTCAAAAATATTATTTTCTGCAAAAAGAAAATAATTTTTTCAACAATTTTTAAAGAACTATTCAAAATAATTGTTTTTTCCTCAGTTGTCTTGTCTGGTATTTTAAAAACTGAGAATCAGGATTAAATATTATACACCCACCCCAATTATAAAGTACGTGACTGTAATTCTTTAGAAAATAGGAATATTTGGTCATCTGAACAATTGATAGAGTAAAAGGTATACATAGATGTAAAATGATAAGAACTGGAACGAAGAGAGCACATAATCGTGATACATGTACATGTAATACGACAAACGAATATGAATAGGTCAAAGTATGATTTTCAATACAATGTGAATAAAATCTTACACACGAATGTGTTAAATTTGGCTTGTATTATAAGTGTGATGAAAAAATTTGCAATATTAAAATCATCTCACTTAATGTCCATTATTGTAGCGATAAATCAACAAAACTTCACATTATTTGTTTCGAAAGTTAAAATGTGCGTCAACGACGATTTTTGGTTTTTCAGTCTAATAAAAGGAAAAAAGGATTGTTTCTGCTTTAAACATACGTAAAATTAAAAAGTGAAATCCCATTTGGCAACAACACACAATAACTACCAAACGATTTAAATGTTTAAGTAAATTATAGTTTGCATTTTAAGTAGGGAAAATAATGACCTTACACAGGTCATTATTTATGCCTTAAAGCAAATTTCAATAAACTTGGTATCGTCCGGGTTGATTCTTCAAAAGAATGCCCTATTGTTCTGAAAGAAAATAACTCCGTATAGGTATATAACAAAATATAAAGTATAGAAAATATGAGCAAAATTAATAAAGAATAGAAAACATTGGTCTAAAACATAAAAGAATACAGAAATGACGACCCCCATCCAAACCCTCATTAATGTGAAATATTACCTGTTAAATGATGAAAACATAATTAAGCAATATGCCGTTACAAATAATTTATTCATGAAAAAACACAAAGAATGTTTTACGTCAATATAATGTTAGCTAAACCGACTTTAAATGCATGATCATGACAAATTCATCAATAACGTTAAAGTAACCAAATTTTTCAAAACAAAATTTATGAAAAACCGTGTTCAATTGAATTTTGCTCTGATATTTTAACCATTCTAAATTCAAATTTCTTACCAGTCTATGTACATTTGCTATTTTTTCATAAAACAGCCGTCCTTCAAAACAAAACTGAATATATTAAAAGAAAAACATCTTCCATTTAAAACAAGATTCGATAAAGGCTACAGTTGTTTACCGATGTTCAAAATCTATATTCAGAATTTCAAATTATTTGTTTAACGAAAATTCATAGACAACGTTCATTGTTTTTTTTTTTACATCTCGTTTGGTCATATAGCTCCTCACGTAGTTTTCATATCCAGAAATCAACGCCACTTTGCTTATTTGAATATTATACGAAAGAAATCGGATACGGGTCACGGAAATTATATTGAAATGATAGGGAATTTTGAAAAGAATGTCTGTTTTAACTTTAATTTAAGTGATAGACAAATTGCGGGGACAGAAAACAAATATACACAACAATATACACCATTTAAACGAAACATAATGACTGTCGTTGCGAAAATCAAGGTTTCTGTGCTATTTTAATAATCGAAGCGAGAGGCTTTTAACATTGCAGTATAAAATACAGGCTAAAATGGCTGAAACGTCACATTTGCAAACTTCGTGTTGAAAATTGGCTAACAAGGTCATTACAAAAACAGGTTGCCGGGATGAAACTTGAAAGTTGAATGTCCAAAGAATAAGCAAGTCCAAACCTTATATGTGTAGTCGTTGAACTCTAGGTTCCCACGTAAAGTTAAAATGCCCCTATTTCGAGAAAAATAAACTCACGAAAACACGAAAAATTCACTAAATTCGCGTTTATTGTTTTGATTTTGACCGCCTGACAACTTTACGGAAATATCAGAGTGATTATAAACAAGGATTCTGTTACGGGCAACTTATAATATCCGTGTTTTAAAGATTTTAATGATATCAAGCCCGTCCAGTTCAATCTATTATCACGTGGTACAATTCTCATTTACATATTATGAATATTAATTAGCAAAAGTACTACTAATTTCTGGCTATGTAGTACTTATTCCAACTCGGCTTTCAAATTATTGATCACGGGTTTCCTGGTCAAGGTAAATCCATAAAAAGCGTTTTGGACGGACTAAGATTATACAGTGTTTCACACGCTATATCCGGAAATCGAGCAAACTTTAGCAGCCTCTTGTCCATGAACTACACAGTTTTTTTTCTATATATTCTGTTTGTAAATATTGTCTTATATTATCTTTAAAATCAAATAAAACGGGGTAACCTGCAATTAAAAAAAACACACATTAAAAGGACGATCTGTTCAGGTTGTAATCCACGCCAGGACTTAAATTGATCCAATTGGCCTGTCAATTTTTCTAATGGACTGCCTTGTGTCTGTCATGGGATTGTCTACGTATAAATCAATAACTCTTCATTCACAATATATTTATATATAACGGATTACAAATGTGTCGAGTTTTGTGATTGGATAACAACACAGAGATGTCAGTATATATTCAGGAAACTGTCAGGGTATATACGACGTTTTTTACCCCATTTTGGAACCTCAACAACGTCATCATAACAAACGATACTATGTGACGTAGTATTAAGCTGTACAGAACATATAAAGAACGTCAGAGGTTCACATAGGGAAAGTAAAGATGTGTATCGGTCAATAATACGTTTTTAATTTAAAATCACGCAATTTACAATCAAATACTTAATTAATGTCTTAAAGTGTTATTACAAATTATTGTATAAACGATAGAATTATTTTCACAGCAAATCACAAAAATCCTCTCGTGTGCGGCAATTATATATACTACATGGTGAATGTTTAACAAATATCTGGGACTGGAAAAAAACATCAAGGCAGGGGTAATCCGTAATATATGTGTAATTCAGGTTTCAGACAGGGTATATAATGTGACATTCCTGGCTTAGGGTTTATATCCCCTTCGCCTTCGGCTCAGGGCATATAAACTATAAACCGGGAATGTCACATTATATACCCTGTCTGAGACCTGAATAACATATAATATCAACAAAATGTGTTTGTGAAAGTTATCTGATAATTAACCTTTATTCAGGATTTTACAATCAACAAAATTTAATATCGTTATCATTCTAACACATAATTTAAATACGCGACACTTTTTTAAAGTAAATAAATACATACACATATTGTATATCAACAGCGACGAACATAGCAAAAGCTGAAAAAGTTGGGTCAATTATGACGGATTTTATTAGATTGTGAGTACCATACTATTTTTTCATTCCTCTCGTGTACTTGTAGATGCATCGAACTATGGAGACCACATATGTATGGATGTTTACTGTTCCATGTACATAATTGAACGCATTGCGAATATCTATTTTTTCCTCCACACTGTTGTCAATTTCCTAATTATGCTGGACAATCCATTGTCTTATCAGTACTCACATTGGTAACCTTGTGTTTGCTCGCTTTTTCCAATTTGTTCGTGTAGATAATACCTTCTTCTATCAATCTGTTTCCAGCTAAATGTATATATTGTTTACCTTGTCGACGTACCCGGTCTCGCTCCCTATGGAGCTCTTTCAATTCCCTCAGTGTTTGTTCGTTACCTTGTTTTTAAAATGTTTTTTTTTTATTAATTTATGAAAATTGAACACCGATTAACCACTGTTGCCTTAATTCAATTCATACTATCAATCTGTTTCAAGCTTAATGTGTATACTATCACTCCAATCTGTTTCAAGCTTAATGTGCATACTATAAATCTGTTTCCAGCTTTATACTATCACCATTTATACTATCACTATTTACCTTAAAGTTTATACCACCTCTTAGTATATGCCATCGTTTACTAGTACTGATTGAAGCACTGTAGATTTGCATTCCAGTTGGCAATTTTGAGAGAAAGCTTAAAAAAGTAATATCTCATTACTGTTAATTTGATAATCAAATAACCATAAAATACTTATAATTGTTAAGTTAGTTATCTCGAATAATTCGATTGATTTCCCAAATGTTTGTTTTCGTTCATTTCATTTGTGATTTTATCTTAATTTGTTTCAATCTTTAAAATTAAACTCATCAATTTTGACAAGAAAAGTTATGAATTTTCATTGTGGATCTAATTATACCATACAATCTTGTTGCAGACCGACAACATATGGAGAAACACATAGAATAATGAAAATTAACTTTCAAGAATCGGATTATGTGTGAAATATTGTAAAACCAGTACTATGTCTTTTTACCTCAGTTTTTAACTGTAGTGCATGCACATTGATTATACTAGAAGATTCCCGCGAAATCGCGGTACAATTGGGCAAGTGTTGAAACAAAAAGTTTTTAAACTTAGTGGTCAGTTCGTCGACTGAGCATGCGCGAAAGCGTATAAGACACGGATCGATAACGGTCTTCGAATTTGAATATTTTCTCAAAAATTGTCGTTTTCTGTGGAAAAAAGATTGTTTAAAAGACAAATTTAGGAAGTACAAAACACTACATTTATACGTCATATCACAAATATTTCCAACTTTGTATGGTTTCAGAGGAGTTGCGGCACAATGAAATCTGTCTCTTCCTTTAGTAGTATAGATTTAAAACTTTTGTTAAACATATCCTGTCATTTACATAAAATTCAATATAAACAGTATCACGTATAAGTAATCAGGAACAGAAATATAATTATGAAATACTAAAAAAAATCATTTCACAATAAAATTTTTCAACAAATATAGATTTGATTAATGTTTCCTACCTTAATTCAGTATTATTAAAAATATATCAAATATATGCTTTCAAATTCCAAACACCGTTTAAAACCTTCTCCAAATTGATCTTTAATGTTATTAAACACCCAGTCTTGTATGTCTTTTGAAAATAAGACTCAATAGAGAGAAAGGGCATATCAGATATCCTTTTTGTATTGCATTGGCCAGTTAAAGAAATGTATGAGACTAGGAAAATCTTTACATTAGCATTTGAATTAAAGAAGACTGTTGATACTTCAAAAGGGGTGATGATATAATCCTACTCACCTACTCAGGAAACTTAAAATGTTGGTAATTTAGTCATAACAGTTAACGGTTAAGTGATCCAGTCAGAGTGACAAATTCACATTTCGTGTTGAATTATTCGTAGTAAATGTTTTGACTTATAACTGAATGAGAAACTGATCTAATCACGAAACTGTTATCAATACCATGTTCCCTGTATAATAATTCTATAGACAAGGAACAGTTATCATATTACTTACAATGTATAGGAACTGAAGGGCATAACTAATGACGGACATTTATCATTGATCGATTAACTATGAAAATGATATCAAGTTTAGATAACCTCTGTTTATAGATATGACACCTAACACAACACTATACAAATAAAGGCAACAATAGTATACCGCTGTTCGAAATTCATAAATCGATTGAGAAAAAAAACAAATCCGGGTTACAAACTAAAACTGAGGGAAACACATTAGATATAAGAGGAGAACTACGACACAACAGAAACACAACATTAAAATGTAACACACACAGAAACGAACTATAATATAACAATGGCAATTTTCCTGACTTGGTACAGGACATTTTAAGAAAAAAATGGTGGGTTGAACCTGGTTTTGTGGCTAGCCAAACCTCCCGCTTTTATTGCAATGTTCAATATAATATTAAAATGAGAACATTACATGACAGGACTACAATACAAATAAATGGGAGAACATATAGGACAGAGAAACATACGAATAATAGCTAACAAAAGGTACCAGGTTTAAAATTTAATAAGCAAGACGCGCGTTTCGTCCACACAAGACTAACCAGTGACGCTCAGATCAAAAAAGTTCGAAAGCCAAAACAAGTACAAAGTTGAAGAGCATTGAGGACCAAAAGTTCCAAAAAGTTGTGCCAAATACGGCTAAGGTTATATGTCTAAGATAAGAAAATCCTTAGTTTTTAGAATAATTCATACTTTTGCAAACAGTAAATTTATAAAAAAAATGACTATATAATAGATATACATGATAACACCGAAGTGGTGACTAACTACAGAATAACACTTTTTTATGCTAAATGTAGGACAGGTTTAGACAAGATGCATATTTCCATTAAAAGACAATAAAACATACAATTTGCTAAATCTACGAAAGGGAATAAGCATCGTGTATCCACCACCTCTCCTAAACCAATATCACTTATACTATTAATATTAATATTAAATAGTAGTAACTCAACTTCATTACATACTAAAGTTCTTATGTGTAAGTTTCATTGAAATTTCGTAACTCTTGAGGAAGAAGAGCAGATGCAATTTTGGAAACACTTATGCAGAAACAAGCGGATAGACAATTAAAACCTCTTTATGCCATCGCTTCAGATAGGAGTTATGAAATTAATTATGCCTTTTAACATCTGAAATCCTAATCTGAAGTCAAAAAGTTCTTAAGTTGAAGATATATAACGTTTCCCTTTTTCATCGGAGATAATTTACATATACTTATTCAATATTTATGAACAATTTATTCAAGACTATAACTGCTAAAATCATTAAACATGAGACAAGGTCAAACGTCATTTCTCTTACTTTCGATTGGCGATGAACTGAGATTACGAAACAGACTATGCAGACAGATCGTAAAAGTAATTTAGAAACTCTTCTACTCAAGAAAGTTGAAATTCTGGTAAGTTGGTCATGAACATGATGAAAAGTAAACGGTTAAATGTTATTGTCAGAATGGTTAATACCAATTATATGTAGAATCATTCTTAGAACTTAATGTTTTGACTTATAACTGAATGAAAAACTGATTTAGTAACGAAAACGTATAAGTATCATGAAAATGAGATCAATGCCATTTTACTACTGTAAGAGGAAAATGTACACTGTACTCTTATTGTAAAGACCAGGAAGTTATATAACTAACACTGTATAGAGCTGCATAGAATAACTACTGAAGGGCACTTATCATTGATCAATCAACTATGAAAAAAATGTCAAGTTTAGATGACCTCTGTTTACAGACGTAACAACTTATATAATTCTCATTCAGTGGTTTGGGTCAAGAACATTCCCTTTTATACTGTTCCTGTTATATAGATAGTTTCAATAGCATTTCAGTCGACTATCTGTTATCTAATGTATATTGTTCTATTAAAAAGACAATATGATCCTAGAAGTAGTTTAAAAATGCCACCCTTTAACAATCGTTGGAACAAAGAATAAGGAGCACGGTTTGCTTCACAAATAACACATCATATATATTGTCTCTTGTATTCTTTGAATCTTGGGTTTTTTTTCTTTTCTTTTATCTCAGCTTACTTTTTATGCTTTAAATTTGTAGACGAAATATAATTTTTCTGCCGGATTACACCGTCTAGCAGCTTGAGATCTTTAAACCCTTTAGAGAGAGAGGAACAGATCTCTAAGAAAAGATGGTTGTCTGGCCACATTTACGTTTTCTTTATTGTTATACTGTAACGCCCTTACTTTTTGGCTATTTTATACCAAAGAAGATAGGCCGTAAGCAAAACAAGCGTTAGATATGACCACTTTACCAAAGAAGGCTTAATTTGCCCTGAACAAATGAAATGTGCTACTAATTGAAGGTATACTTTCTGTAGTTTTGGTAATTCAAACACAAATATTCAAAAAATTCATTTAAATAACGTTGTTACTAGAACATAGAGCAAAAATCGATGACAATACCATGTAATCGTGAATCGATCGTTATATAATATTTATGACAAGCCTTATTTCTTACAATTAGATATACAGTTGCACACAAACTTCCTGCTAGAAAAAGTATTCAAATAAAAATTACACATTAACAGTTTGGTAGAAAAGATAAAAGTTTTAGTACAAGCATTATATAAATTTTACATTTTTAAAGATCCATGACAATGAGCTTAAGGTCAGATTAGTTCTGTCAGACAGACATGTACACCTTACAATTATTCATTACACCAAGTATAGTTGACCTATTGCTTATGGTACTTGAAAAACAGAGTAACACAAAAAAACTTAATATCGACTTACGAACCATTGGTCAGATACTCCCTGACAGACAAAAATATACAACTTACAATTAATCAATACACCAAATATACTAGTAGTTGACCATTTGGTATTATTATTGGAAAAACAGACCAAAATACTATAACTTAACATAAACCAATGAACCATGAAAAGGAGGTCAAGGTCATACACAACATATAATTGACCTACTGCTTATATTATCTGAGAAACGGACTTCATCACGTAACTTTATACCTTGATAACTGATCCATGAAATGAGGTCGAGCTCACGTGAACCCTGAATGACGGACATGTAGATGTTGCAAGGAACACATATACCAAATATAGTTACACATAATAAGTGAGAAATTCACATGACAAAACAACTGGTTTTTTTCAATCAGTCGATGAACGATGAAAATCAGGCCAAGGACGATGGACATAAGACAGACGTAAACTTCGTAACATAAGGTATCTGCACACAAGGTATGAAGCATCCTGGTCTCCTTGCTTCTGAAATATCTGAAATATAAAGCTTTATACAAATAGTTTACGCCGCCGCCGCCGCGGAAAGTAATCCTATATCTCGCATACTGCAAAAACAACGTTGAGAAATACTAACTTATAAAATATCAATAAAAATTAAAAAAAAACAAATCAGGCACCAGGTTCAACCTACCATTTTATCTTAAAATGTCCTGTACCAAGTCAGTAATATGGCAGCTGTTATCATATAGTCCGTATCTATGTATGTTAACGTTTGTTTTTGTAGCAGTTCAGTGTTTCTGTTGTTTTGTTTCCTCTTATAGTTAATGTGTTTCCCTCTGATTTGGTTTGTGACCCGGATTTGTTTCAGTTAAATCAATTTATGACTATTGAACACCGGTATACTACTATTGCCTTTATTGACACATGATTCTAACAACAGTTCGCTAGAATCTATTTCTAAAGTCAATAAAACATAAAGAAAAAGACACATGCATCAAGTGGTTTCTTTGCAACTACTTATTGTAATAAATGTAAGTGAAAGATGGGGTCGTTTGAAAACATTGACCAAAACTTAGATTTTTCCCTTCAAAAATAAAAAAAAAATTTATTAAATCGCATATTGACTTGGCAAAAGAAATGATATCAGCGAACAAGTATTACTGTGACCAAGCAAATATAACAAGCGTCGTCGTTCTGGTGAAATCTAGTTTTTCAGAAGCACTTTTTTATAATATTCTGCAGCGCAATAGCAAAGATGCTAGATTGAAAAATAAATGAAAGTACAAAAAGTGATCAATGTCATATAAGAAAACTCTACGTCAAAAAAAATCTGTAGACATAATATAAATTGACAGCAAGCTCTATTATATTTTTGATAGATTGACAAAACTCTCAGCAGCGTAGTACATGTCAGCAGATAATCCATACATATGATAAGACAGTAAACTTCGTGATTATAACTTACCCAAAATCAAAATTCCAAAAACCATTAAACAAGCTAATAAGCTAATAAGCTATTCCAACAGACGTTCGTCATGAAATCATGAATAAATTGTTTTCAGTAAATGTTGTTCTAGTTGGATTGTTGATAATATTCATACAGAAGTTATCACTGTCAATATTATTACCCACTTTTTCAGAATTGAGTATAGATATTATATTATGTTTCAAAAATGTTAAATTGTTGGTATATCTCCGGAAGATGAAAGAATAAAAATGTGTGGGTTTGTTTTTTACATTTTGTGTATATTCGTATATGTTGTATTACCAATACGGTATTTAAAACGAAAACGAAGCTAAATTTCATACCTTTCTTCTTTAAATATAAACTTATGGTATTTAAATTATAGCTCCGATTACTTCCTTTTCCTCAAAAGAAATGCAGTTTCAAAGCTATCAGGCGAAAACATCTAAATATCCTTAGAAAACACGTATCCGTACTGAATAAATTAATGAGTTTGGCTTTTCTTTCAATAAATGTAAATGGTTTATAAAAGATAGAAAATACTTTATCATATTTAATTGATATGTAATCGGTAAGCCACCAAAAAGGTTGATATAGTGTGTCTAAAAGAAACGCTTTGTACGAAAACTGACATTGATTACTTTACTAATGATTGAAAATGCTTGGAATGGTGCATGGAGCTTGTGATTCAAGAGGTGTAGTGTTC